GGCGGTCGAGACGGTGGACGTGGCGGCGGTCGAGGCCGTGGTCGTGATGGCGGTCGAGACGGCTGTCGCGACGGTTGTCGTAGTGGAGGTCATGACGACCATCGTGGAGACGGTCGTGACGATCGACACCGCGGGGCCCGAGCGATGGCGAAGCTTCAACGACATCGACTCGCAGAAAGAGGGAATGACCCCAGATATCCCGACCCGCCTTTGCCGTCGTAGTCTACGGAGAGAGATATTGATTGTGTTCCTCAAGAAGAGGTAAGATTTTTGATAATGAAGAACTTCATTTGGATGGTAAAAATACAACAGCCGCACTCTCTGAGAGCTCCAGAGAGCTCTGAGGCCGAATCACAGGAGTTCCAGAGGAAGCTCCATAAATTGATTGGGTCACGTCTTTGTATTAGAGCACGATCTGGTTTGGAATACGAGAATTAACGCTATTGTGTCGTTTTGGAAGTGCACGAGTTTCGGCGGGAAGGTCGTCGACAAAACGACATAGTATACTCGTGGTTATCCAGGAAAGAGTACGTAGTATCTTAAGTGTCTCTCTAGATGAATAACCAAAGCATTACGGCACATATGTCGGGAGACTTGGGGAATGATATCTGAGGTATTCGCATATTGACGGTTGAAGACAGAATACAAAGGAACATGGCTTATGTACATAACACACTTATCAGGGCTTAAAGTCAACGCAGCAGCCCATTAAAAAATAAAGTGTTAATAGCGATCTGCGGTCCCTCTTTCTGTGACGGATATCTGCTGCTACCGCGCTCGCGCACAACACCTATTGCATATTTTGATCCTGGAAATACTTCTGCAAGTCAGTCAATGGAAACGACGATACCAATTTGTTTTCCCCAACGTTGTGTTTTCAATAATCTCGTCGATCTTCATAACGACAATTCAGAAATCTTGAGCAAACAACAACGCATCTTTCCGCTCGAGAAATCAGAATGTAGACAGCTATCAACAGAGTTTTAATTTGGCACGCATGCTTAAAGAAGAATTCGAAAATTGAGAGAGATATGCGATATGTGTTTGTACCAAACCGCACGCAAACGTTAGTTTCAAGAATGGTTGGGCTCGTTCTGAACAACGGACGTTATCACGAAACGCATGCAGGTTGAAATGACGCTGCATTGCGATAGACTTAGAAGTGAAAAGAACTGAACGAGTACTTCGAACGGAAATTATAATTCAGTCCTCGACCATCCCCGATCATTCCATGATCTTGTTCATTCACATAAACCCCATTTATTCCAGACATACTACATTCCACGATTGACAAACCTTTCCACATTCTCCCATGCAAAGAATATAGATCAACAGTGTTGACACAGAAAAGAGTATTGTGTGTGATCAGCTGAAGTTATGATTAGCGCCTATTTGTTTATGCGCATGCCACTTTACAAATATTTGTGAAACAATCGTTGTGTATATTTATATACGAAACTTGTGTGATTTTACTAATAGTAATTCAAATATTAGTATTAGTAAAAACGAGTAGCATCGCCATGCATGCGTGGACCATGGGCCGGATAAGTTAGTATCCACGCCGCAAAAAGTCTCTTGTTTCAAAATTTCCACCTTTCATAGAATTACAGCATTGTAGAGATGCTTTTGAGAGGATGTGTAAACTCTTACTGTGAAATCCCATACATATCAGACTGTTCCTACCTACGATAGTCGAAATTTCTACAGGACCATGACTGGATATTGTTTATTTGTTGTATATGATTAGTGTAACCTACTATTTATTTATTTAGTAGGCAGTCACTGAAGGTATTGTATATTTTACAGTTTTCTAAAGTAGATTAGTTCTTACTTTCGATCGAAAATATATATTCAAGTTAAAACAGTTATAACTAGACTAGATATTTACGGACATTTACGGTAAAATCGAGCAGATTGTAGTGATTATATCCGTCTTTTTATCCGTTGGAAGAGTCGGTCACATAATATTTGAATATATCCACACGTATTCTGACGTTAAAAGTTAACCAAACTAGAAATACTATAGGGACAGATTACCACAATCGATATGAAATTTGACCTCTAATGGCCTACAAGATGGACTATTAAATGAAATGTAAATGTATCAAAATTCTTTCAAAATTTGGATTCACGGGGAGGGGGACCAGTAACAACTGAGTGTTGTCTTGTGATATTGTGCTTTTCTAAAGTATACCGTGTTGTTCTGCACAGTCCCTCTTTCTCCTATTGACCAGCTTACATCGCATATCATATTGGTGTTATATATACATATTACCTAATGTTCAAGCAATATGAACACTCTTTTCTTATTATTGTTATCGTTGAATATAAAAGTAAATTAATGTTTATTAACGTATTTAACAGTTTTATAGAGTGTACGTAATGGCTGACATATTGGATTCTTCATGATCAAATTAGTTATATAAGGATACATATCAACTTTTTCGCAAACTTAAGTGTTAAATAGGCATAATATTAAGCCTTCCGTGTATGTATCACATTGTTCATTTCTCTTGAATGTTTTATTACACACATAGATCCAAATGGCTGTTGTCAATATTTAAATTCCTATTTAGCTAATTGCATATTTAGACCCCTCTTAACCGACTTTCAAGCGACGGGCTCAAAGAAAAGCTATTGTGATGGAATATAAACGTCGCCGATTATTACACTCGGCGGCGAAATTTTTGTGTATCCTTAGAACCAGTGAATCCAATACGACATGCATTAGCGCCTGCTCTCTTACATTAACCATATAAATTATTACTGTAAACATGGCAATGCTGTATGGACAATGGTATTGGTGGATGTCGTCATGCTGTCGTAAATGCTGACTAATATCTCTGGATGTAATGAAGCACACATATATTTCATACTCGGTGTTGCGAAAAATTCTATCTTCAAGTTGTGTTTTGATAACGTTATCTTGTTTGTGTGTTAAAAGCACAGTCTACTACTGCCCTAGGGTGGTAGTAGAGGAACCATGTATGAAACATATCCTTTTGCTCTGGTTCGCCTAGACTTTCCGTAGACATCCTTCAGGCATATTTTTATATGAAGTCTTACACTCGTGTCAGGTCGTTATCTAGAGTGGCTACGGAAAGGGCGTCACCAGGCAAATCACATCGCGTTTTTTACAATTTGTGAAAGTATCATTAGCATAAATATATAAGCACATATTATTAAAATAAGTGTTATTTGTCCATATTATATCTCTTTATATTGCATATGAAAGCTTCGAAAATGATGTTTCTCTTCACTGAAAAGGTACAAAATGTTTAACTTTATTAATTGTAAGAGATTATGATGTTGCATTTATGTATGTGATGTAAAGTTTAGTCCAATAAATGAAATTAAATCTCCATCTAAATGTGTAAACCTACGCAGATTCCGTAACCCCTGAGCGATGTAAAACCACACTGTAATAAGCCTATCGACAATCATGTTTAAATCTCCTTGATTTATTATCTTGCATTTTATAAAAGCCTTCTAGGAAAATACTAAGAGATAAAATTTTACATCAATAACTATTTCTAATGATTTATTAATTCTCAATTTAAAAAATAAATTGTATCAATTATAAAGAAATTCTGAGAATACTGACGCAACGAATGAGAAGTTCACACCATGAAACTTAATATTTAGTAGCACATTTAAAGTTTTCTGAAAAATCTAACAGAATCACTGTTTAAATGTATAAAAATATTATGTAACCGTTTTCATGCCATTTTTCAAACATATCACAGCACTATTTCAAAATTAGAAACTCAGATTATCCATTAAAAAGGATCTATTCACGACATTCTAGTGACTTTCTAGTAGGTTCACCTCTTTAATAATTTTCATCTAAATGGTTATAAAAACTATTAAATATTTCTATAACATTTTTTGTGAAAATAGTTTTAAAGTGAAAGTCAATTCATGCATCTTGAAAGATCTATTGTAACTACTATTAATAGTCTTTTTTGGGGATAAACTCAGAATATTACTGTATTATTAAAATGTTGAAAAAAATATTCCGTTCAGAACCTTGGAAAGCCAAGATACAGAACAAAGGTAAAAAAATCTTTATTATACTGCGATGGGCAATGTGTCTGAGATAAAAATCCTTACAATTATTTTCAAACATTAGTAATCACATAACACATATATCTACACCAATATATTCGTAATTAAAAATGCAGATAAATTTAACTAGCGTATTCATCGTAGTGAAAATGAAATAATAGGAAGTATTATTAAACACAGTAAATTTATCAGGAAACAGCAACAGCAGGTACGTAATATATGTAATGTTTTATCTTACTAATAATCAATAACAAATAACACACTTGAAACTTCCAATACTATTAGACTATAGACGCCAATTTCTCATGAGGTTGATTAGGGAACTTTGCAATTACATCAAAACTTGATAAACCATCAAATCACATCGTATTATGTCGCCATGCAGTTGAAAGTCTATAAACAATAACTCCGTCAGCATTGGCTTTCTCTACTTCTTATATATGCAATTACAATGTATCAAAGTATTTTGATAGCAGTGTACATGTTTACCCGAATTGTTTTTCTTTATAAATTCTGAGCCAAACAAGGATTCCCAAATAACAGAAAAGGGGATAGAGTGGCGACAACCTTATTTCCGCCATACTATTGTAACTCTTAAAAACTTCCATAATCCACCTAAGTAAAATGTAATGGTTTCGTAAAGGATTTTAGACTAACTCGGAAAGATCCTTTCGCTGTCAGGGTTGTAATCCTACTGATCAAGTTATCAGCCAATCGCGGTCAAAATGTTTTAAAATAAATTATAAAATTGATTCAAACAATCATGAATCAATTCTGATTGCTAAGAATGATCATCAACCAAAAATACATCATTTGATGGGTCAAAGATCGTAATCGGAGAAATCAATGTTCGAGGCCAGATTTTTGGTTCTCATCATTAACTAAATTCAATTAAACGAATATCTTTCCCGAGACCCCACTTCTCTGAAACAAGGGCCGTAGTTTTCCCAAATCCCATCGTCCACCTCCATGCGAGTTTACTGAGCACAAACCCCACGAACTAGCGTTTACTAGTCTTGCGGCAAGTCGATATATGCAAAATCCAACATACGCATGTAACGGAATGCATGACAATACACTCGTTCGGATCAGAAAAAACTAAATTCCTTAATCCTGCCGCCCCGTGCACGTCTGCTCCGAAATCCCTACGCTAGCCAGATGGGAAGAGATTGTGCGAGACTAGCTAGCCAACCGCTATCGATGAGGAATGTCTTATCTCAGTGCTGTATGACAGGAGACATCTGCTGCCCGAGCGCGACACATCAGCGCGTCCAAA